TATAATTATATATAATATATGTAACGTTTGTATCATGGCTCAGGTAGAAAGGCATAAAACCAGAGAAACCCAGAGCTCCATGACAGCTGTGAGTTTCAGGGCTCTCCATTGGATTCTGTGCGAAGCTTGGTGAAGAAGCCCTCCAAGAGGTACTAAAAGGCTATCAAGTGTCCATAAAAGTGTAGAAAGATTGTGTTGGAACCATGGACGCATGGCAAACTCAAAGATCCGAATGGAGAATTCTTCAGTTTCATCCATGCTTCTTATTTGCTGGCAATTAATCGAACACTCGAACATCTCTGTTGCTGTTTGAAAGACAATGTCTACCAAAAAGAGGGTCCATCATGAATTTTTTTCTGAGTTGGCGACCGTTGTGGCGAAGATTCTTTGACTTGTACAATTGGGACGGATGTCATTCTTGCTGCAGGATTCTTTTTGGCCACAGTTTGGCGTGGAAGGAGGACACGCTTGATTTTTTGATGCAATTTGCTGACATTGGCTGCACCTTCCACTGAGTGTTTCTGCCCATGTTTATAGTTTTTTTTGTTTTTTTTTAAATCAATTTTATCCATGTTTATCAATTTTTATCAAATTTCATGCATGTTTATGCATGTTTATCAATTTTTTTTATCAATTTTTATGCATTTTCATTAGTTTTTTTCCCATTCTTCAAGACACCAGGGACACCAAGCGACGCGAACTGATGGCCTATTTTCGTGCTAGGAGGCGGTAGACTCTTTGTGGCCCCCATGCCGGAAGCTGGATCTCAGACGGGGCAACGTCCGTTCATATCAATAGATTGCCGTATGGCAGCATGGGAAGAATGAGACAATGGTACCCTCTGGTAAACGTTTACATAGCTATTGAACATGTCCATTTATAGTGGATTTACCCATTAAAATGGTGATTTTCCATAGTTTTTTGTATGTTTACCAGAGGGCATCTTACTTGTCAATGAAGCAGCGTCCTGTCAGTGATTTGCATCTAAACAGTGCCAGAGATATGGGTATGGACCAATACCTATTAATACAATTTTTAGTGGGATGAACATCCATAAATCCCAGCTATTTTGATGTGAACTACAGGGGTACAAGGTTTTGACACACTGCCATATCCAAAAACATCAACCACAACATCAACCACCAGTCCATGGCTCATCATGATATGACGGTCGCAGGTGAATCCCATAGCGGCCACCAGGTCGCCGTTGCTGGTTGCGTTGAATGTCACTGGGCACCTGGGGAATGGCTTTCGCCAGGCTGGGGGCCAAGATTCTCTGGACGCGGCTGGACGCTTTAGCAGCAATTTCTGGTGATGGTTCAGTGGTTTACCACATCTAGTCACTAGTTGAAGTCAAAGTATGCTTTCGTGGATGTAGCGGTTGAACGATTATCCTCATGATTATTGTCATTTTGAGGTTTCCCAAGTCATGGGGGTACCCGAAAAAATCATCCATTGATTCATAGGATGTTCCATCAAAAAAACCATCCATTTTGAGGTAGCCATATTAATGGACACCTCCATCTTGAGACAGAAAAATGGGTCAGACATGCCATGAAAGCCTGAGAGCCTAGCTGCCATGGCAGATGCTTATCACCTACAGTGGCAAGGGCTGGGAGTGGATGGAGAGGCGTTTCACGGCGCGCGCACGGTCCACACTTTGCAAACGAGTCACCCGATATGATACCACCAGCGAAATGTCATGAAATGTCATGTTTTGGCGCTTTTCAAAGTTTTTCTGGCAATCCCGATCCAAGATTCGATACAATGAGTTACACATGAACGGAAACCTTGGTTCCGTGGATCTTGTCACGGAGGATGGGAGGAGGATCGCTATGACTGCAGGGGATGCTACCTTTGCTTCGCCAGGAAGCGTGAAGGAAAAGGCAAGGGTGGAAAGGGTGGCTCAGAGAAATTGAAGAAGAAAGTCTGGTGGCTCAGCTGACTCAGCTGTTTTCAAGTCGCAACTGGTATTGAGAGGTGAGTTGCTTCTATCATCTTCTATTACAGCTAGTACCTAAGAGTCTGAAAACAAGCACCGATATTCCCCCAACAGACTCCCAAACAGTACCATACAGGGCAGCGACATCTCGCAAGACATCTCACGATCCATCCTGGTTTCCCATGTTGAACCGGCCATTTTTTCGACGCTGGCCGCCTGGTTTCAGCTGTAGAGTCCTGGTGTTTTTGCTGCGGCGAAGATGGCACTGAGGCGGAGAAACTCGCGATTTTTCTGTGGCGATTCGGTAGATTCGATTCCCCCAAATCTGATGTCAATGTGCTTGCAGATAGAATTAGATGCTGTTGAACACTATAAAAAAGCATGATGAACCATGCATTTCAATCCGAACATGACGATCTCGAAGCATTTTCACAGCCCTTTTGTAACAAAAATCCAGCGGTTTCAAACTGGACATCTTTGGGTACCAGGCCCTGCTGGGTCCCGCTCGGCTCGCGGCAAAGTCCTGTACCGACATTTTCGGAGTTGAGGCAGGGCGATTGGAACAACGAATCTGATCTGGTTGGTGGTTTGGAACATGGCTTTTATTTTTCCATATGGCTATGGATCAATACCTATTAATACCATTTTTAGTGGGATGAACATCCATTTACCAGCTATTTTGATGTTCACCAGGGGTACAAGGTTTTGACACACTGCCACATGGCTTTTATTTTTCCATATATTGAGATTGAGAATAGTAACCCCAAGTGACTCATATTTTTCAGAGGGGTAGGTATACCACCAACCAGTGATAGGACTCTGATCCGAATCTGTTGCATCTGTCGATTTTTTGTTTGGACATAGTGAAGATGTACGATTTGCGACGAAATGTTGACATACCGGTTATACCAATCCATGCCTTCCAGTCCTCAAGGAAGGCCACAGGAGGTGAGGCCTCACCTTGAATGATTTGAATTGATATCTGTGTCATAAGTGTCATAGCTCATGAATTGATCCAACAATCAATTGCTCAGCTGAAAAACAAACGCACAGAGAGAGAGAGAGAGAAACAGACACACCCTTTCACACCCTTTCGCACCCTTTCACACACAGACAAATCCCATGGGAGACCCATGGCCCCCCAGGGTCAAAATTCAGGGCCTCCAAGCAGGCCGCGTCGACCTCAACTGCCAAGCTTTTCGACAGCTCCTGTCCTGGCTGGTATGGACTCCCAGGTCGGTTGAACACAGCCATGACAGCATGACATTGTTAGGGGGGTTTCCATAAATGACCCAACAGCTGGATGGTTTTTTCCGGTAAAATCTTACTAAAATGGATGATGATTTGGCGGTACCCTTTTTTGATCAGCATTTCAGATTTCACCAACGGAAACGCGCGAATGGTCCGCGAATGGTGAAACTGTTGTGAAACTCCACGAATGTTGAATCAAGTGCCTCCACAGACAGGAGAGAGTTCATTCAAAAAACCGCCGACTCAACAGTGGAGTTTCCACCTTTCCCACATTTTCCCGCTGTTCGGCGACATGCTTTGTGGGATTCCAATGGCGACAGATTGTGACAGCAAGGCAATGTGCCAAGAGCATGTCGGGATAGCTATTGGATAGCGGATAACTGAGCACATCCAACATCAAGATTAACATTAATGTACATGAATAGTCATGAATGAATCAACAAGATAAACATTCATTCGAGTTAGATCATCTTAGATCATGTTAGATCATCTTAGATCCATTCTTCATGTTGTCCTTCATGTTCAATGTACAGCTCTCAGGTCTCCTTGGTCTCGTTACTGGCGGGGTCCGGGCGCAGGGCCGCCAGGGAGTCCGGGGCCGTGTCAGGCGTGCCAGGGGGCCCAGGCGCCGCTTCAAAAGATGGAAGAAGTATGAAGAAGTAGGAAGTACCCTCTGGTAAACATACGAAAAACTATGGAAAATCACCATTTTTAATGGGAAAATCCACTATTTCTATGGCCATTTTCAATAGCTATGTTAGTTTACCAGAGGGTATAGGGTCTTACTTCATATTTCTATGTCTTTCTGAGTGACTTAGTGGGTCTGAGTATTTCTGAGTGACTTAATTGTAGTGGGTCGTACTATTTTAGGATCTTAATTACTGTCTTATACTCTTCTATCCTTTTGTGGATAGGAGTTGTATACACAAAATTTACCTGACAATTCACTGGACAATTATGTAAATTTGGAGAAGGGATGCCTCAACACATCAGGCTGGAAGGCTTCTAGTCTTGGCTGGTGAAGTGTGCACACATCTGCTTATTTGCAGCTCATGCTATACTGTACATACACATGTACTATAGATATCTATAGATTACTATATAATAATATAATACATACATATATACAGTATACAGATACAGCTGCTTCTTATGGTGTAGTAATTGTCAGCCTGCTTGTTTGCTGAGCAGCTTGAACGGGTTTTGGACAAACACCGATTCCGACGCTTGTTTCATCCGAGGGCCTTACCACCTATTAATGATATATATATATATGTATGTATGTATGTATGTATGTATGTATGTATGTATGTATGTATGTATGTATGTATGTATGTATGTATGTATGTATGTAATGTATGTATGTAATGTATGTATGTATGTATGTATGTATGTATGTATGTATGTATGTATCATATTCAACTTGATACAACCCTCAGATTTCAGCATATTTCAAGTATCAACCAGCATGCAAAGCCATCTGAGCAATCTGAGCAATCTGAATCAAGGTCAGCGTGCACGCCGCGGCAGATGAGGCCCAATCCTTTTTTTTTTGGGTTGAGTTTTGCTCGCCAATTGAACTGCTCCTGCAGCTGCTCCATTGAATTTTCAGATCATGATCCGGCTAAATCATAGACGTCAGAGACATGGACACACAGGCAGAGACATACTGTCAACATACTGTCAACGTATTGTTAGTACATAATATACAGTCACCATTTGTCAACTCTTTGAGAATGTCTTCCAAGTTGCAATTCAACTATTGCAAACCGCCTGATACCCTGACTCAAAGGGTGGGAATGGCGCCATGAGTCAGTTCCGGCTCCGGCAGCTCTCCGATGCCTGGGCACAGTGGTCACATTTCCTGTACGATGTTGAACTGGTAGAGCTCAATGCCTCCTTGTTGTCTTCCACTGGGGCCCCTTGGCGGAGATGAGGGCAGTCATCAGGTTTGTAGTTGTTGGGCTCCTGGTCGGTCCAAAAGTGTCGTGGAACATACGCCCTTTCTGAACCGGAGATGATAGATAATTATAGATAATTATATATAATTATGGTATATTATAGTGATAGGATGTGATACTCGTAGGTATGCGGAATATCTCAACTTTTTGCATGACATAGAGATTATTCTCCCCGCAACAGGTTTCATGAATAGTTTCCATGTTGCTACATGTAGCAGATCCATAGATCGTATGCAATTGAACCAAACTATCTACTGTACCCTCTGGTAATTTAACATAGCTATGGAAAAGGGCCATTTATAGTGAGTTTTCCCATTCAAAATGGTGATTTTCCATGGTTTTTTGTATGTTTACCAGAGGGTAAACTGCTGGGCGAAAATGTCGCAAGGTCGCTCCACATGTGCTCAATCACACTGAGGAGGTGATCGTCAGGTGCAAAACATTCGCAAAGCGGCACCATATACCCTGAAACAGCTGGTTAATGGATGGTTAATGATGGTTAATGGATGTTTATTCCCACCAATATTAAGTTATAGTATATATATGTATATTAAGAATAGGTTTTGACTACCATTTATGGTTGCTCATGGAATTCAGCCTCACTCTCTCAAGCATTTGCCCCAAGAAAGCCATTGCCTTGCTTGCCTAGTCCTTTGAACACCCACTCGATTACTGACTGACAATCACTCAGCCAATCATTCAGCCAATCATTCAGTCAACAACACATCATTAAGTAGTTCCCGCAACAATTCTTGATACCTCAGTCAGGCTTTTCCATGTCCTTGTGGCTATTTGAGCTTTTGGAAGTACCCCTCGGCCAACCCTTGGCTCCAATGGTCCGAGATATATCTTGTAAAGTGGCTGAGATCTACATTGACCTGTTCACGTGATTTGAAAGATGAACACTTGGCAGTCATCATCAAAAGTGAACCCTGAGTAATTATGTGGCTGTGTCCTGAAAATTGGGTATACCAAAAGCGGTCACTTTAATTCTTTTCGTGGCACTGTAACTCAAGTTACTAAAAACATTTAAAACCAATGTGTTTTTCTGTTTGCCCCCAGATTTCAGGCACCAAACACAGGTTTTCTCGCAGTGGAAGCAAGTTTTGGCTTCAACATGTTGGACAACACCCTAGAAACCCTGACATACCAGTAGGATATTCTAGATTTGTTCAATTTGGGCCATAGGGGGGTTATTTGATCTTAAGGGCATGGGATAATTTTGTGTTTAATACCACAGACATATATATATACATACACATTGAATATCTTGTGTGTGTGTGTGTGCTCAAATGCTCTACGAGTCACGATTTTCAGCTGCCCCACAGGATTCTGCATGTTCCGGACACACACTTTTCGAAGTCGTCCGACATGAGCCCTTGGTCCGACCGTATGCACAAGCAACTTGGCTGGTTACATTACCTGACTAGTGGATGGTTTGTAATGGAATGATTTTGGGGTGCCCCCATTTATGGACACCCTCAATTTATACACTAGTAATTTATACAGTGCTAATTTTACTTGACACCCAATCAGTATACTTATACTAGTGCAGTAGCCAGTAGCTCTCTGGGCACATCGTTTTTTTTTGGCCAGGTGAAGAGCCCATGTGTCGACTTAATCCCATCTAAATACATAAAACATCCCTAAATGTGTCCCCAAAAGGTATAAATACATAGCCACATAGCCTACGAAAATTCATGGTTTCTGGTGGGTGAAAAAAAAAATCCGGGGGAAGGATTGATCCTGAGAGATCCAAAAATCCGGTGATCTTTCGCAATAGAGCTTGGTTGCCTCAGTTTGTGTCAACATTATATGTAACATATGTACACACAGACACTATACACATAATGTACATAATACCAAAAGCATACATTACATATGATTTTGTGATGCATACTGTATGTATAACTATATATATAGAGAGATTTATGGAGATTATATTTCCGAAAGCGTTTTCCACTGGTTGACTGGTAGGACTGAACCCTTGGGACCCAGGGCCTTCGCGAGCCCCACAGATTGGGAGACGAGAGAGCACACCAGCACGCGCCAATGGGAAGCAGTTGGGGTGGCTTCACTTGGTGGATCCCAACAAATCCATAGCTTGAGAGATCCAAAAATGGTCGATTTTTTGAGGTAACCCCGGTAACCCCCATTTTAGGAAAGCCCCATATGTTGAGAGATCCTAAGAATGATACTTGGTATGATAGAAACATATGCAGAAGCTCTGAAAAATGGCTTCGGCGGCTTGTTTCAATATATCTCACTACCAACGATAGGTTCTAAATCGTTTGATACAGACATAGCCTATTATAGCCAACTTCTGGAACCTTCTTTACAGCATGAAGAGTTCGTATGCGAAGAGTGTATGCATTGATGGAAGCCAGTTACTGCACCGCGTCTTGCTTTGACTGCACCCCTCAAGCTGCAAGGTGGACGAAGTAAAGTCTGTGAGCTTTGCAGACTGCAAAAAACATCAAAACGCCCAAAAAAACAGGTCTGTGTAGGTCCTATTCAGAGACCGGGCGAGTTTTCATGTTACACATCAGTGTTTCTTTCTTTCACATGCACTCGCTCTTGCAGCAGGTTCTGTTTGAATAGTCGACGGTCACCAATCACCAGTTTTGATGGATCATTTGTTTTCATAGAAAAACCATAGAAAAACCATAGAAAAACCATAGTGAAAAACCATCTGGTTTGATATGCAAACCCTTGTGCTCGGAGCTCTTTTTGTAGAAGCTTGGTACCAGTCAGTTGGTTCGAAATGGCAACCAAAAAGCCTGCGACATCTTCACAGCCTGAGGCCGGGAACTTTTGAAGGCCCTGAAGTTTGCAAAGACGATGGACGTGGATCTTATTGCCTTGGGTGGGGATCTGGTGAATTTTCCATCACCCGAATCAGTGAACGATGTCTACCAGGAGCTTGCAAAGCTGCCTGGTTTGTATTCACATAGTGTTGGTCAGTGTTGGTCAGTGCAGTCAGATTCGGATACATCTGAGGAGATATGGGAGATACATCCATAGATTGCAGCGAGCTCGTGCTACATTTTGCTGCCTTTGAACGTAGCGAATTTGATGTTTGGACACATTGTAAACGGGAAGGTGGCCGTTTTATTCTTGTTACAAGCATGATGGATCTTGTCTGCTATCACACGATTGTCACTTGTAACTCTTCTCAGTATGGCCTGCAATCACGCCATGCTCTTTTATTTCTTTGTTTTCAAAGCTAAGTCCCTGTGTTCCATCAATTCATTCACACACACACCCAGAACATAAGCCAGCCAGCAGCCAGCGGTTCACAACCAATCAACAACCAACAGCCGCCACCACCGCCAGTACCACCACTACCACCACCACTGATGATGACCACGACGATTACGACGACCACGACGACCTCCTACTTCCTACTACTTCCTACTACTTCCTACTCCTTCCTAACTCCTTCCTACTCCGTCCTACTCCTTCCTACTACTACGGCTGCTGCTGCTGCTGCCGCCGCCACTATCATTATCCACTCTATTATTATCACTATTTGCTACTACTACTGCTGCTGCTGCTACTGCTACTTCTGATGAGACTACGACTGCAACCACGAAAACGACTATATACTCCTACTAACAGTATCTAGCAGTAGTCTCAGCTGCATTTTGGTGAAGTAGGCCAAGGAATTCCAAATCAAAATTGCTGAATCAAAGAGCACCTGAATCAAAAAGGAACTCAAGTTTTCCGCAGGTAAATGGCATACATGAATATACATGACAGATCCCCAAGCCTGGCGTTGTCTTGGCTTTTTCCGAATGGCGGCAATGCACTTTGCATATTCTTAGCCTTTCTTCCCATTTGAGGTAAGTACAACATGCGGGTCCTTGGGAACTTGCTTAATTTTCCATGACATTTAGGGTTTTTCTGGACTTGCAGAGAGACTCCACAGAGATGTTTTTCTGGGAATTCCATGGAATTCCGGCCATGAAGTCCACGAAATCACCTCGTTGCGTTTTTTCGAAAAACGAAGGCTACGGACACCTTTTCTATACACTGCTGGAAATCATGATTGGCACCTGGAAAAGCTGAATGGATACTTGGATCATCGATGCAAAGTTGGCACATCCCCAACATTCTTCATCATGGGAAGGTATAGTTACTATAGTTCCTGTCTTCAGGCTGCATTTGGCCTTCATTGAAGTTTATGGCGCATTTGATTGGAGGCACATGTCAACTTTCACGATTTTGTCCACTTGTACTGTGGCTTAGAGGATGCGCACCATTTGGCCAGCTAAGGATGGGAAACAACGTTTGACGCTCAGATGAAACCCAACGAGAATGGCCCTCTTAAGAAGCTCTACACCGCCAGCGGCAAAGGACCAAGACAAATCTGAAATGCATGGGAAGATATGTCGTCCGACACAAAATGGTGCACCAACCAACAGGGAGAAGTCCAAAGCGGTGTGAGTTGCGTCGAGTTGCCAGATTTCAAGTTTCTGGTGGCCAGAAATAGATAATTGATATTAATTGATAGAATTATTGATAACCATTGAGTTGAATACAGCTCTTGAATCTCACGCGTGTTCTGTTCATTTCTTTGGCACCTCCCAACCCTCCTTCAGGCAGATCCTAGCTGCTAGAAGGCATCATTTTTCACATCGTGCTTCTGTCAATCCAACATCTTGCAGAAGTTCTACATACTTAAGATTACTTAAGTGGAAAAACTTGAAGAACCAGCTCTTGTTCAGTTGGTGCCTTTTAAGCGACGCTTATCGCGTAGCTACGCCAGCATTCGCCAGGACTGAAAGGCGAGTTGTCAGATCCCCGATTTGGCTACGTTGAAGTGACTGATGGTCTGAGAGTCGTTTGCATCCCGTCGAAAAATGGTTGATGGTTAGGGTTGGAACATATCGTTGGAACATATCTTGAATCTGAAAAATCTAAACATGTTGGGTACCCGAAATCCCACGGTTGATCAGTTTATCAATGTTTATCATGTGGGTACTTGCAGAGTGACCATTTTCGAACACACCATTAAACCATCCGAGACGTCCAATAAGGGGGATGCGTTGCTCCCGTTGTGTCTACTACAAAAAACTGCTGTATCTCCCAAGTCGTCTCTGCCAGCCAGAACACACATCAGGAACTTGTAGAAAAACTGTATCGCTATGGTGGCCAGCTAGATTTCATGACGAATCATGTGACGCATCATTCCCTTGATTTCATATATCAAGTTGGACACGCAGGTTATTAGCGACCTTGATGAGCTATAGGTTTGTCCAAAAATCGGCGACCACATGGTACCCCTACATCCAGTGGATCTTTCTCCATTTCTGCAAAGATATGCTACAAAGATCTACGGTGAGTATCAGGATGATCAGATCCGAAACTCGGCCCTTCACAATGAACGATGGACATCCGACATCGATGGACATCCGACTGACCGAGGTATCGATAATTCCAATTTTCTGATCGACTCGGATCAACTTCACTTCTTCCTGCAGATGATGATCCTGGGTCAAAAACGATGAAAACACGTACCCTCTGGTAAACATACAAAAAACTATGGAAAAAACCATTTTTAATGGGAAAATCCACTATTTCTATGGCCATTTTCAATAGCAAACTGTTAGTTTACCAGGCCGGGTACATCTTTCATGTGTCGCGCCGTCTCGACGCCCAAAAAAAGTGTGTGTGTTTTCCTCCGGTGATTCGGTGAATCGTTGCAGTCCAGCACGGTCCAGCCTCAGGAACTCCTCTGAATTCCTCGTGCTTTTGATGCACATCCCTATCTACTTTCCAGGCCTCACTTGGGGGCCATCCGATGTGATGGGTCATCCTTTTTGGGGTCACTCGGCTGCGAAAAACGAGTCAACGAACGCGGAACCTTTTTCGCTTTCCGGTCATTCAAGGACGCGCTCCGAGCGCACAGACGTCCGCAAATGGACGTAAAAACGCGCACAGACGTCCCTGCTCGAAGATCTTTTTAAAGGAACATATTTTTAGTTGAACACTTATTTGTGCTCAAATGAAGCTCCAGGTCTGCAAAAATCCATGGTTTTTCATGGGTGCAGGGTGACCCTGCACATGACATTTTAGCAGCTTCCGGTTTATGGATCAACATGAGCAATGAATTGTGGGTCCCATAGTAGTTACCCCGATTCTGGTCGGCCACAACCGAGGCGCTGCTACTGACCAGAATGCCGAGGTCGAAGAGCGACAAAAGTGGCCGCTCGAAGCACCCCAGTTGGTGAGAGACTTCATCCAAAGCGTAAAGACTGCAGCTGAGAAGAGGCAACTGCTGGCCATTCTGACAGGAGTGGTTTCGCAACGAAACATGTTGAAATATGGGTTTGTCTGAAAATAGTGTACCACTAAATCCACTGGATTATCATCATTTTCCCTATCAAAATAGCTATTTGGGGGTATACTGTATTTTCAGACACACCCATATGTTGAACATGGGGTAGCCCAACATACCCATCCCCAAAAACCAGGTGCCCCATTGTGGTATCAATACAGCCATAGTCGTCCATAGTCGATGGTGCCAACTTCTGCACCCACCTTGTACACCCACCTGGACTGTCAGCTGGGAAGTGAGTCACTTGAAAAATATCAAGAATCAAGATATTTTGGATGTTTTATCTTTTGTAAAACATCTGTTTGGATCATTTTTGATCATCTGCACACAAGTAAGTTTGTGCAATTGTGAACCAACTGGGGTCCAAGTGGGTTTTACACTGTTCTAAAGGCCCAAAATTCACGCTGTGGGTGATACAGGTAACATCAGGTAACGACTTTACACGTGCGAGTGGGTACTAGGTGCAGGAAGCTAGACACATTTATTTTTGATTCTCTTCCATGACATGATCAGCAAAGGAATCGAACACAAGGACAAACATTTTAAATCCGAGAGAATGGGACCGATGATCAGGAACAGGAACACACCATTTTTTTTTGCAGGACATACCCATGAAAATGGTGTTGTACCTGTGCCATGCGCATCAACTTGCGATGACTCCGGGGTCGCTTGGTGATATCAGACGGAGTCAGGGCGAGTTGGGAATAGCTTCAGCATCCTTCAGCCTTCTATCCTTTCACCATCAGCTGCAGAGACTTCATTGGACCTGGAACGCGTCGCAAAAATGCTCCCATAGATACGATTCATACACCGAACATTGCCCAACTTCAGGAACTTCATGGCTGGTTGACCATCTTTGTATATCTTGGCGCATAGTTCTTCAGCCTTGTGGCTATGATGGCTCTTCTATATCCAACATATGTTGGATATTTTTCTTATACGTTGGAGACTTGCTTGTGATTTTTTGCTCCGGAAGCCATGACGCCATGACTTCCACTCTCACGCTAAGGTGAAACAGTTCACTTCCCGTCCCAACTTTGGTGGTGGCTCGCGGCTGCTGGTGCTGCGTATGCCAAACACAGCCGGGACAACAACAACAGCACAGGCTTGATGAATGCTTGCAACATCTTCGAACCAGTGTTGGATGTTGAGAAGATTTGAATAGTGGATACTTCAGACAATCGGTTTGGGGAAGTCAAGGGAGGAAGAAAGTCCTTGTAAACAGTCTTGCCCGGAGAAGTGTCAAGAAGCTGAGTAGGCTTTACTTATTAATGTATCTGTATGAGTTGCTGTTGCTGTTGCTGTTGTTGTTGTTGGTGGTGGTGGTGTTGTTGGTGGTGGTCCTGGCTGCCTTCCTGCTGGGCTGGGATGGGACTGAACTTCCGAAAAGCCATGGGCCTTCTCCAACTTCATTTCAAACATGTGACTATAGTCACTATATGTCACTATAGTCAATGTACAACAATTTGTGGATCTGGAAAAGGTGGGGTAACATGTTCTAACATGTTCTAACCAGGAGTTTAACGAGGGAATTTGTTTTTCACAAACATGAAGAAACAGATGCGCCAAGTGGATGCTGTCTTTTGAACCTGGCGACGGAGGCCCCAAAGTGGCAGACCCCGCCGCCAAATCGGTGGATGCTCCATGTGGATCTGGACCTTCGCCTAGCTGCAGCGGCCTTACTGGTTGCGTGGGTGACAAATTTTTCGTCGGGGCTTGCGGCTTTGAAGGGAAACCATCCAACAGTTCAAACAGTTCAACCCCCCAAAAACCTCCTTGCTGCAACAGAAAAACAGATCATATTAGATAGTTGATGATAGTTGATGATTCTTCCCATGGAATCGTAGTTGATATCGGACAGCCTTTAACTAGGTCAGCAATCAAAGTTCGATGCTGGATTTGTTAGCACATGCAATGGCAAATGCTTCGTCCCTTTGAGAGGAATGTGATATTCCGGTCAGTCCTTTCCACGGTGTCTAATTCCTTGCATCTCCTTTTCATGTCTCTCGGTAGTGATCACGAAGGATCATCGCAATTGCTTTTCATGGTGCATCAGAAGCCAGCTAGTTGAGTTTTCATCTGAGTTTTCATCGGAGTTTTCAATGTGATTTTTCAAAATCGGAGCTCTTCAGCTGGTGAAGCTTCACAGCTTCTTCACAGCCTTCACAGCTGCTCCACAGCCGAGGTTTTTGGCATCTTCTATTTCTGGCGACGGAGCCGGTTGCCCTGCAGAACTGGGAACTCGCCCGTGAGCGAGCCCTACATGCTTGGCGCATCAGAGCCCAAGACATGGGAAGAGGAGCAAGCCGCTATCTGCTAGATGATCATAGATGATCATAGATGATCCTAGATCATAGATGATCCTAGGTGATCACAAAGTATCACAACACTTGACACCAGACTGTCACCAGACTTATCTGTCGTGGGTGGATCTCCGATTTCAGTGCCTTGTGCAGTGCCTACATTGGAGTGGAGACGATGCTGAAACCAGCTTTGCAGACGAAATCCGATATCCAGTTCACCCATCGATCAATTCACCATCCAGCTGTCCATTGGGATGTTTTGAGCACCGTGGAGCACATGTGAAGCGTTCAGTCAGCGAGAAACAAGCCCCGAGATCCTGAAGCGATTCTGCGGTGACCAGAAATGGTTTTTGCAGCGAGTGATTCCAGAAATATGGACTCAGGCACAGAGCCAGCAAGAGACAAAATGCACAGAGCGTTGGAAGTTTGACAAAATGCGGGATTCGATCCGTCGATCCTGGGGTTTCATACAAAAAGTCACAAGAATGTAGCCTTGACCAGCATGTTTCCCGTAATCTGTGCACACATTTTCGTACTGCAGAGTTGACACAGCTCCCCACAATCACAGGAGCAGAGATGCACTGAAGGAATCTGGAGGACTAATTGCAACTACCATGATATTATCAAAATAAATTTAGTTGAAGCAAACTTTCGAGTTAGCAAATGTCATAATATAGGCAGCTTTTTTTAGCCAACGCCACAGAGATCGCATTTGGAACTGCTTCGCTGCAAAAAAAGGTATCATGTGTTAATGCGTTTCCTTTGCAGAATAGCAACCGACGTGTGCCAAACGCATTTTCCAACTGCTTCTCCGCAAAAAGATGCTGCTGATCTGCTGATGTGTTGGTGCGTCCGTGCTTTGCAGGATTGGAACCATGGTTTGCAAAGCACATTGGAACGGCTGCCTTCCCCTTTGAATTGTTGGTGGGCCCATGTTTAGGTTATGTGGGATTGCAACTTGCGTTGCCAAGCGCATTGGAACTGCTGTGCCACGAACAATTGTTGATGTGTTGGTGCGTCCTACGCGAGAGCCAACTGGAGGCTGCTAGACGCATTGTTCTGGCTGCGCGAAGGGAAGATTTGGGTGCGAAAAGAGCTGGCGACAAAGAGTGGCTCAGAGATACTTGACTTGTAGGCGAAGGAGGTTAGACTGAGTTTGTAGCTGAGAGGAGAGGTTGCTCAGTGAAGAGCGGAAGAGGTGCCTCAGTGAACGAGTGGCTCAAAGAATACTTGGTCACAGAAGATGTAGCTGAGAGAGAAAGGAGGTAGCTCTGAAGCAACTCTGAGAAAAAGTAGCTCAGCAAAGAGGTTGCCGAAGGCAGCCGAGAGGAAAAGTAGCTAAGAGAAGGGGTCCAGAGAAGAGCTGGCTCAGTCACTCAACCATTCCTTGCTTGCTTCATTCAGTTGTTCAGTCAGTCAGTCATTCGTTCATTCGTTCCTTCCTTCTTTCCCTCTCTGCGTCCGTCCGTTCATGAACGCCGTTCATGCGTGCATTTCTTCATTTCATCCATTTTCATTCATTTTTAGGCACCTGGTCCACGTGTTCATTGTTCCCCACCTGCCGGTGTCCTCCTCCTTGTGCCAGCTCCTGGTCACTGGGGCCTTCAAGTGGAATCGCCAGCCACTGCCAATGGAACCCCCCCGGGGCCGAATACGACGTGGGCTGTGATTTGGAAGTGTGTTGGTTTCACATTTTTTTTTTTCCCTTTTGTTACTTTTTGCTTACGTATGTTTGACAGAGAAATCCACATCATTCCACATCCATAGAATGCACTGGCAATACTTTGCAATCATTTCCATGCATGGTGTTGAAGGTGGGTCTCATCATAGTGAAATATCTTGTGTCACTTGAGCGGCTGCTGATAATTGAAGACAATCAAGTAGTAATAGCAGGTATAAGATGGTATAAGCTAGTACATGCTGATATGTTTCTCATTATTCTTACATACTGACAGGGTGAAACGACCTACTCAAACGGGATGCGATCCGGCCTTCTGAGATTTTCATGAACCAAATCGCAACGTGGTGATTTCGCGCCAGCGATCTTTGAACATGGCGACGATTTAGCGCATTTTGCTTTGCACTACCCTCTGGTAAATTAACATAGACCCTGGCAGATAGGGGTTGGAAGACTAGTTTTCCATTAAAAATGGGTGATTTTCAGGGTCTATGTTAATTTACTGGAGGGTAAAACCTGCATGATTGGACATTGACACTTGAGGACGAGAATCTTAGACGTGTCCACGGGTCATTGCTGCTGAAGCCTTCCCGATAGCAAAAGCAGAATCAGAAAAAAAACATGAAAAGTGCCGAGAGCGGCAACTCCCATGATGGTGATATCCGACAATTTTCCAAGAATTTCGCTAATATTTGTGTTTTTGGTATTCCCTCAAAGATAGAAACGTAAAGTGACTTGTCATTTTTTAGTGGGGATTTACTCTTCGATTTTTTGGCGGTTACTATATATTTGTTAGTCGATGCAGTTTCTGTCAATCCTGAGCCTGAGAGCAGGAAACCCCGGCATCTTCATGCGCCAGTGGACACTGGGTTGCAAAATTGCAGCCTCAATTTGCGTTGTTGTTGTTTGTGTTTTTTCTTCGATATTTATATAGATCGAATAACATATCCTTATATATCCTTCTGATTGCAATGACCATCATGGTGACACAAACTTTAAGGAAGGCGGCTCAACATGATCCATGCTATTTTTTTTTAGGACGTGCTTTATTTTACATAGACAGCAGCTTGCCAGACAGATCCGAACGTCCTGATTTTTTCGAACTAGAAATTGAAAGACCATCAGTTGCACAAGAAGGGGCAAATCGAAAAGACATACACCGTAAATCCGCGTCCGAGACTTGCCCAACATGCATGCAATGTCATGTCAATGCCATATGTGATATTAATCAATGATTTTCATGTTTGGCACGATCAAGTCACTTTCTGAAGACTGAAATGTGGATCTTTTAAGTGATCAGGGTCTAGAGGATGTAATTTTTTGCTTGCACCACCACATCAACACTTTAACGACCCATGAGACTTTCTCCCATCCTGCACCTTCTTGAAAACACATTTTGGGTCTGTAGCTTGATGGCAGTACCTCAAGCCAATTCAAGAGTTGTAGGCTTAGAAACAGAGACCATGTACCATGATGTACCATGCGCGTCTCTCATCATTTTGAAAATAAGAAGTCCCTGGTTGGTCGAATGCTTGGGAGGGTTCATTTTTGACCTTTCGATGGTTGAGAAGCTGGTTGGTCTGGCTGCATTGCCGCTGAGGGCCTACAGGGCCAAGACGGAACTTCCTGCAGGCAAGTGATGAGGTTGTCGTGTCCTGCGTTTTTGTGGTTTGGGTTGGACCCCGTAGGAAAAACACAATCAAAAGCATTGAACTTTATTGTTGTTTCGCATGTTTGAAGCACACACAAACGAGAAAGTTATGTCGACACTTTGCCTTTTGTACAGTTTGTGGTGCGTGTAACTGAATGACACCTGTAAACTTCCACCTTTGCAGGCCTTGACTGCTTTTAATAGTTACATGGCGACCAGCCGCGCTGCCAATGCAAAGATGGTGCTGCTCCCAGTTTCGGCGGTATTGGGGATCGAACAGTCGGGGCTATGAGTGCATTGCACATAGTATACATATACATGCATGCATGTAATATATATATATATATATTGTACATATGTACATTCAGATGTATATATAATTATATATATATATATATATTTATACTATTATTGATAATATATATAATTATAATTATATATATAATATATATTGAATATACATATACATACACACATACCCGCAAAGCAGGGGGTTCGCCGTCGGTAAACAATGTATTTTCGCATTCGCATGTGTGGCCGCACTGTGTTCGTTGTGTCAACAGTTACTGTATGACCTGGGGACCCCAAGTCAGCATCCCAAAGATTGTCCCAAAAACATGAAGAGAATCGACATGAACCGACATGAATCGGCATGACACGTCTACTTTATACATTTTTCAATTGTCCAACTTTGACTTTTGGGTGGGTTGGACCCGCATCATATTTCAGCATTTTATTGTGGACACTCAGACAGCATGGTTCACATCTGCCCTCAGGATGTCATCGACATGGGGGATCCTAACAAATGCTGGAAACCCAGGGGATCCTATGTCAGTGGCGTGTTGTCACGTCCAACCGGGCATTGGATTGTTGGATTGTTTTGAATTTTCATGGACTTTACGTATTTGGGCTGACAACAACGTTTGTTTGCCCACAAATAGATGGCTCAAGATGAACCGGCCAATTGATGCCAATTGAGATCGATTTGATGGTTCTTAGGTCCTTTAAACATCTTTAAACCTCCAAAGTGTCTGTCACTCCAGGTAACCGATACTCCAGCGCACAGGCATCTACTGCTTCGGTGATGGTTTCCTCACTTGTTGGAGGCACAGCAATCCACGATCCATGGGCAGCAGGTAAACTGCTTCACCTTTGGCGGAAGTAACGCGGAACCGATATCTGTGATATCAGAGATGATGTTTTTTGTTCGTGATGTTTTGATGGATTTCCGGGCAACTAGAAGCACAACACACTGAAAAAAAGACTCCAACAGTCTTGGAAAGTCAGTGGACTTCAATGAGAATCTTGTGATTCATTGAAATCCATCTTCCTCATTTTTCCCCGGAGCTGCCACAAGCCAGGTGTTCGGGCACCAAAAAGATGACGGAGAATCTTGACTGTGGGGAGGACCCCCAAAGTGCCCCGGGTGAACTTCCAGAACAAGATCGAAAAAATGAACAGAATACGGCAGGACTTTTGCAGAACGGAATTTTCATCATTCACCAAGCAAACTTTTCCGTGATTTGAATTGATGTCATCATTTTTTAGTATTTATATAGATTTTACATGTACTTAGCGAAACAGCCACATCGATTGATGGAGACCTGTTTTTTGAGTACCACGACATGAGTTTTTTGAGTGAAAACTGGCAACAAGGGGAGACAGACTGCAGATGGGTTATTTGTTACGACAGAATTCCAAGCTACAAGGATCAACAAACCACTTCACAGTAGATATCTGTGCAGTGTCGTGCATTAAATACCTGGGCATTTTCACTGTCCACATACGGTATGTATCAATGTCAGTGTTTGTTCCACAACATGAGTCTTCTCTTTCTGAGGTTTTGTCTGAGAATTTAAGAGAAAACAGCCACATATCCACTTGTTATCATTGGTTCATGATGGTGTGCCCCAGTCAAATCGCAAGTGAAATAGGGCTACATCATGTGGTGGTTTCCTGAGTCACAGGGCTACCCCCAGTTTTCATCCATTGATGGGGAACCCCCCATTGGGGTTTCCCATGTTTCCTCTGAGGATTGATGATCCCTCAAAGACGCGGGATTGCAGCGAATGCGAGGCCGCCGTTTTTGCGATTGCGAATCCAAAACAGATTTCAGCATGAAGAAAAGTCTCCAAAAAGTCTCCAAAAAGTATCCAAAAAGGTGGGCCCCCTCGCAACGGGAGGCCACAGGCTACAAACCCTGTGGCACGTGCCAAACCACTGGACTTTCTCCAAAGCTGGTGAAACTTTATGCTCGCAGCTTGGCAACTATGGTGGGCTGCCGCGCAAAGGCTACACAACTTGATCTCTTCCATGAGGGGAAAAATCAGCTCGATTTGCTGATGGTTATTTTCCCGATTGGAAATCCACTACTTGGGGAATCTATAGTTTTTTCTTCTCCATTTTTTCATGCGTTTCTTAAGCAAATCCAAGATCAAGGGGAGCTGAAAAAGGTGAAAGTTCAGCCAAATGTACAAGAGGTATATACGGTATACACATGAAATCACATGGCCAGCAATGTACATTTGCTGGCAAAAGTCCAAGGGGCCATGGAAAGCCCGTAGGAACTAAGGAACAGATTGAGTTTTGGATAGGGATATGATGACATGGACATAGGTGATATAGGATGATAATATAGGTAATATAGGTTTGTCTGAAAACAGGGCCCCAAATTTGATAGTATCTCAGTATCTCAGAACATTTTCCTTATAAAAATTGCAATTTCTGGGCATAATTTAGGGGATCTTGATATATTTTATGGGTATACCATGGTATTCTCACGGGACAAAGTCATAAGATGATCAGGTCGTTCTATTGCATCGAAGCTGCCTAGCAGCCGAGGTGATGAAAAGTTCAGGAAGGCGCTCCAGCGTGATGTGTCCGGGCTTATTCGAGTATCCTGTTGGTTGATTTTGGTTGATGTTGGTTGATGATTAGTTCGCGGATCTATCCATCACTATCCAGATCTATCCAATTTTTATTGGGGATATTTGGGGATCTCAAAAGCTGATCCACTACGGGAATCCCATTCTGTGGAAAAATCGAGCTGCGCAGATCATGGCGAGATTGAGAAAGACCAAGTGTGACGAGGATGGCAGGCCGCAGATTTTTTCTCAGAGATTTTTAAGTATAGATTAGTGGACAAATTGCCATTGCTTCCTTTTCAACATGATTTGGAACCATCAAAAAATGAGTGGATCCTGCTGTGGTCATATCCATAGCTACAAAAAAGCTCTCTGCGTAGGGCCAAGATCAAACGAGTGATGACCACCGCCATTGCATCTTGGACGTGGAGCGCCAGGGGGGTGTGATCATCTCCGTTTCGGTTTCTGTAGCTATGGAGAATCCCCAAAAACCATACCCAAAAACCATGGGATTATGGTGGTTTTATGGTGTTTTATGGTGTTTTATGGTGTTTTAATGGGATTTACCCTCTGGTAAACATACAAAAAACCAATGGAAAATCACCACCTGAAACAATGGGTAAATCAACTATTTCCAAATGGGCCATTTTCAATAGCTATGTGTTAAATTATCAGAGGGTAGGTTTCAATACTAAACTGATCTGATTTTGGAAGGGTACCCATAGGAAAACTGGAAAACCCCGTTTTCTTCGCATGGAGAAGAGATTGCATGGAGTCAAAGTCGAAAGTCAGAGTCACTGGAAGGCCGTCCAGGTACTTGACTGGATCCATTTTTGCAATTTGAGGTGCCACCAGCGTAAGCCTCCTCGTCCCACGCCATGTTTCCCTTGGTTTTTGCCCGCATGGCTGAACCACATCCACCACTTGATCCACTTGTAATTCTCCTTAAAAAACCCATTGAACAACATTCAAAACCTAGATGAAGAGTATGCCTACCTTGTATCTGCATCTCAAGTCGTAACTCCCACGTAGCCATGGAATCCATGGACATTTTTCGAAGAGATCTCTGTCGAAGTGCCAACCGTAACTTTCTGCGCAAGGCAGAGGTCGAGGCCAAACAAGCTGCATCGGAGGGACGAGATGCCATGATTCTAAAGGTTCCTGAAGCTCCTGCACCAGAAGCTAGTGGGACTTGGATAGGTAGTTAGCGTAGTTAGCTGCGGATTCGCAATGGCAATTTGGCATACCACATATACCAGATACCAAAAAAAAGGTTTTTTGTTCCGTTCTTGGGGCAAACACAAGAGCGCTTTGGGATCCCCCCAAGTAAGCCCTCTACAAAATCAGGACCCTTGGGGGTTCGACAAAACCATTCTCAGCCGTAGAGGGCATTTTAGCATGTGCAAGGAAGGATCTTGCCTTTATTTAAAGGTACAGTATGTTCCTCATTTTGTAGAGGCTTTGACCCCCAATGGATTTTGTAGCTACAAAATATGGGAGATTTCCGAAGCCGAACGCCTATGAGTTGGAGGTATACTTTAGGATAAAGTTTAGGGTGTGTTTGGCATCATAATGCATCATTCTAGGTATCTAGGTATTCGAATTGGCTAGAAGGCTACACTCTAGGTATTCCATGAAGGCAATTCCAGAGAGTTCACATTGCCATTGATCTGTTCACCAGATCTGGTGACTGTCGATGTTCATGGCGACATGCTGAGACCAGCGACCCGTATGAATCCGGATCAGTGTGAAAAAGGGCTGCAGGATGCTTTAGGATGGTGGAGCAAGTCTTGGATCGTCAGCTCGACATCTGAGAAAAGGATGGTTTGTTTGATGATGAAACAAGAAACTGAAACTCGTTTGGGGTTTCTTGAAATGGGCCCCCAAAACTGTAGGTTTCAATACTAAAATTGTTGTCCGCAACCTTAACGTTCGCCCAGACTCATCATTGTGACATAACAGAGACAATTCTGTGTTGCTGGGAAGTTGCGAATCCAAGCAAGGCCAAGGGGGAAAATTAGGCCACGGTGGCATGTGAAAGATACCTTGAATACAGTTATCTTCATGAGGAAACAATATCACCTGATCATCATGAGGGATCAAAATCCGCCACCCCCTATGACCAATATGCTGAACGGGCCAACAACACGCCACCCTCTATGGCCAATATGTTGAATCAGGTAATTACATCAACATTGTCGTCATGAGGGAACAAAATCCGCCACCCCCTATGACCAATATGCTGAACGGGCTAACAACATCAACTTTATCTTCATGAGGGATCAAAATTCGCCACCCCCTCAGAACAATATGTTGATTGCGGGACATCAACTCCGGGCAAACATCCAGGTTGCAGCGAAATTGTTTAATGTTGGTTGATTTGGAGGTGTTTCCAGTGTTTCCACACTTCGGAAAGCCGCACTTCGAATTCAGGTCACCATGCTTTCGGACATGTGGCGCTTTCATCTGGAAACCAAGAAGTGGCAAGAACCTGAGACAGTCCCAATGTGTCCCAAGCCATTGCTATGCCAGGAGATTCCTATATATTGGATTCCCAGGATTCCCCATTGCTTTGCCGTTTCAAATATCTTCAAAGAAAAAAGTTGAGATATGTTGAGATATGTTGAGATGTTTGAAATCCATTCTCTGCGAGCTCGTATCCCTGAATGTACGAAAGATGTGGGCTGATCGACAGATGTGGGCTGATCGACGCCTGAAGGAAAGACAGCCAGAAACCATCAGAAACCCATTGCTGAAGAATCTCAGTGAAAGTCTCGAGCGGTTGAGCTGGGGTTATCGATGCAGATTTGTATCATCTTAGATCTATCCGGGAAGCTCAAAGGCTGCAGGAACGCTCAAAATCGCTGTGTTCTTCTAATTCTGCAATTTCGATGGTTTATTTCAATCAGCTTCAGCTTCAGAATTCTGGATGTTGACCAATTGCTAGCCTAGATTTTCAGCAAGTCTCTCCAAGTCAGATTCATAGTACGCTCTGGTATACTAACATAGCTATGGAAAATCACTATTTTCATCTATTTTCATAGGTAAATCAACGATTTTCTATGGGCCATTTTCTATAGCTATATGTAAACGTTTACCAGGCCGGGTACATCTTCCAAGGATTTCCAGTTTCCAAGGGTTCCGTAGTGTTCATCTGCAGGTTCAAGATCGAATACGGTGAGGGGCCTGAAGGACGATGGTAAGGGATCCCAGACGAGAGATTGGCGATGAAGCTATGGCAACGCTTTGGCAATTTTCGGGAGAGAACAGGATGAGAATGATGAAAAAATCAGAGAAAAAGTACGTATGTTTAGCCAATTTTCAGAGATTTTCAGACAACTCTATATCTGTTCCATAGGTTTTTTCATGGCTTCCGCAGCTATTTGTGCTTGGAAGAAACACAAAAAACCCTGACTTCATCTTACTTTGCTTTTGCCACAAGCGTCAGTTTGACCGGTGAAAAAAATGGCTGATCTATCTTACAAACACTTAGCTGCTTTGAACTGTTGTTTGGCACCTTGAAACTCTGAGATATCTGAGATGTACCTTCTGCGGCGATCAAGCTCGTGTGTCCTCTTTGATCCATCCGATTCACGCTTTTTCCACACGCAAACGCAAAGTCACGTACTTTTCTATAGCTGATCATGGGATCTCAAGTCAATGGATTTTCAGGGAAAATCGACAGGAATTTCCCATGACACGGCGGGATCACTGATCCACATCGGAGTAGCCATTTTTAATCATCGAACATTCACTAGATTCACTCATTTGAGTATTGAAAAAGATGGTCAAAGCCACGGCTTTTGGCAGAATTCTATAGAATTCTCATTTTGAGAAGTACCTCATCAATCCTAATCAAGATTCATAAGCTATTCACATTCGATGTCACACTGCGCAATTCGTTTTAGGAATGCCGTAGCAAGCTGAAGAACTGTCCCGGCCAGTGCATCGCGCGGCGCTGCTGAGTTCAGGCAGCCTGGGTCCTAAGCCGTGGTTTTTACAACAAGGACACGTTGAATGGGGAGGTAAGCTTGATAGATCCTGACCGAAGTTTGAAAGGTTGATGAGTCATAAAAAATACTATTTTTCATACCAGACTCGGCAACGATTTTTCAATGACTCGTCATGATTTAGAGTGGCAACAGCTTGAGAACATTCATGAGCCAAATTTCATCCACCAACAAATCAATTGCATACTTCGAGTCGCCTCCACTCCGAGTAAGTTATTTCGGATAATTTGGGATATTACTTCAACATACTTCAACCATCTTCAACCATCTTCAACCATCTTCAACCATCTTCAACCATCTTCAACCATCTTCAACCATCTTCAACCTATAATCATCCTGAAGTAGATCGAATATGGAGAACTTTCCGATATCATGATATTCCCTCTTCAGTGATGAATTTTGAGCAATCTGGAGGAGTTGGGAGTCGGATATCAGGACTTTGGGTCTCCCCCAAGGTGTGGAAAAGCGGAGGGAACAAAGGTGGACATTGGTTAAACCACCTTTGAGCCGCAACTTGGAGCGACAACGGAGCGACAACTCTGGCTCTCAGTTCGAAGAAGCTCAAGAAAAGCTTGGAAATCATTTCACATCTCATCAACCACCATTAACCACTATTAACCACCATTCACCATTCATCACCATTCATCACCACATCTCACCAAGATTTTTTCCAAGATCAGTCTATCCAAGTCTCAAAATCCGCGGACACCCAAGCCCCTGGGGCTCCCCAAAAATCTGCATCGTTGGTGATTACACCGCCATGAGCTCTTCGACGTCTTCGACCCCTCTGGCCCAGTATGCAGCAGCTTTGCGCTCAAGTGGAACGGGTGCGTCTCTGAGTCTTGAGAGGACCAGCCGACCTCACGGACGGATATGTCGAGTGCCCAAAGATATCAAATATCAAGCATCCTAAACATAAACCATCATTTTTTCGAGTGCAGCACTGTGCGTTGGTGTGACATCTGAAATGTTTTTAGCTCTGAAAACTGATTCCAAGGATCTCGTTCGTTTCATGTGTTGGCGTCGAAAGTATGGATCTACTATGGTGCACCAATACCATGGGTTTCGATGTTACATCATTTCTCTCACATGTGTTCAGAAGATATATGATGCCCTGAAACTTAGCCCAACAATGTCCCATATCAATCCAATTCAATCCATATATCATACATGATCATACATGTGTCAAAGCATGTTGCTTAGTAAGATCCTCGATTTGGAGTCTGTTTGGCGACTATGTTTTATGTAGCTGACCATCGCGGCTGGGGGCTCCTCCCTTTGGTGCAGGATGTTCGCCATGTTCACCGTGCCCCTTTGGATCTTCCTCAAGATGACGGAAATTCACCCTCATGAAGAACTCCTAGCCCCTGCGCCTGTTTTAACGGCGATAAAAAAAAGCGGCCCCAATTAGGTGGTACTCATGTGGTACTCATGTGCTACTCATGTGGTACCACTGAAATTTGGTGAAATCCTCAATTTGGCCATTCGGGTTCGACATGGGGAAACCACAAAAATTTGGGCAAAGCTCAGAATCAGCTCGGTCATTTGCATTCATTTACTGCATCCCTTTGTTTAGCCAAGCGAGGAAGCAGGATCTCTTTGCCAATTTGACGATTCCCTGGGCCGAGCGCTCTTCGTGTCGCACCAGTGGCTTAGTATCCAACATCCAGATCCATCTTTTGAGCAGCTGCTTGTGCTACAGAAAGCCCTCATGGATCTGATCTCCGGAGCTTGCAGAGTGAGTCTCCCCCCGGTCATCGAGCTGTGGTTCGGCAGGCTAAGGCTGCCTAGTGCCGCAGATTTCAACGCACAGAGCCTCTTCCTGTGGTATCTTGCCAACTTTAGTCGTTTCGAAACGTTTCGAAACTTGTTTCAAACACCTTTAGTTCTGGTCCCTTCAGCCAGCGGCAAGGTATGATTACTTTTCTATCCCACAGAGCGAGGAAAACATCGAATCACGACAGAAGGCAATCTCATCCATTCCTTGCTACATCTCCCAGAGTTTCTTCTTCATGATCTTGATTCCCGCAGTGCAGCATGAAAATGGACGCATTCTGAGTTTCGAGAGCTGGGCGGAGCGTGGCTGGTGCCGCTTAGAAAGCATGGCTCGAAGTTTGGCTCGGGAAGATGGCTTCAGGATCACGGTGAATGTGGCCTCAAGCCCCACCCTGACCACGGATCTTGGGGGTCTGGCCAAGGCGCCCGGAAAGGGACTCTTCTCGGTCGAAGATGATCGAAAAAAATCGGGCAAGTTCTCGCCAGATTGATCCGGAGCAAATTGCACAACCTCCTGTTCCAAAAAGATTTTCACAACTATCGCTTCCTGCTGAACCTTCAACCTCATTGCTTCGAAGGTCTTCAAACAGACCCCTTGGAGAGTCTGGTGCCCAACTTTTCCACGGAGATTGACCCATCGATTGATCGCCATGGCTTTGTGACCGCCAAGTTTCTACATGAGAATGGCTTCGCAAGTGTACAAGAACGGGACGCGGCCGGCTGGTCACCCATTTGCTATGCTGTCTTGAGGGACGATCCCTTCTTGATTGAGGCCCTGGTAAAGAATAAGGCTGATGTAAATGATTCCAATCGACGAGCCAAGAACGATGCCCAGCTCCCCAAGGGCTTACCACTTTTGTCACTCGCTGGCACTTACAACAATAACCAGGCCATGAAGGCCTTATTGTTGGCCAAGGCCAATGTGAATGCAACAGATAGCCTTGGAGGCAATGCGCTCACTGCATCCATTGGCATGGGCAACAAGGAGGCGGTCCAGATTCTATGCGATGCCAACATAAATCCAAATGTGAAGCTTTTGCCTGGAACGGGTGCGTTCAAAATCGCATGCGGATTTGCTGATGTGCCAACGATTCAAGCGATCATGACTCGGCTTCCAGTGACCTGGACCTGGATATTGATGCCGAAGAATTATTATTTTTATTTTTTTTAAACCTAGCTGTCTTAATGTTTTTTCCATGTTTTGCCGCTTTCAATAAAGCATCGCAAAGTCAAATGGTATGGTGTACGAATGTTTACAATCTTTTTTTGATAGTTTAGTGATATTATTTGCTATATCAATATTTTAGGTGGGACCGCACACACACTTGAATTGTCTCGTGTCAGGCCAATGTGAACCTGCGGTTCGCTCTGCACTTTGGCCTCATCTTCTATGCCAACGTTGACATGGTTTCGTTCTTGCTTAAGTCATCAGCTGACATCAATGAACAACTGGAAGTTCCCATGAAGAAAACCGGCTGGTGGATGTTGCTGAAGTTTTTGGCTTTACGCCACAGGGTGAGTCCCTCAGCCTTGACCTATTTGGCCTATCATCATTCTGGGGCGACTCCTCTGATGTTGAGCATCATCACAGCCAAGTTTGATTGCGCATCTCTTCTTTTGGCTTCTGGTGCAAGGGTGGACCTCAAGAACCGACGAGGAAAGACCGCGGCAGACATGGTCCGAGAGACTGGTGCGCCTATTTCCTTGAGACCGGCACCGAAGACCAACTCAGAAAGAATCTTCGGAATTTGAGCGTTAGCGTTGCTTAGCACGGCTTGCCCGTTGCCTAGCGCGGCTTGCAAAGTGTGATCCCAGTTGACTAATAGTAAATGCCGACAGTTCAGCATGCTATGAACTGAACATCACATCATAGATTCATCATAAATTCATGATAATTCATATCACTTCATCAACCACTGCGACCATATATATATATGATATATATATAATATATATAATATTTTATAGATATTATATATATGTTATATATATATGTTATATATATATATCATATATATATAGAATTAATATTATAATATACACAGTCAATCTGCGATCCGTCCGTTTCAAGTTGCATGATGTTGCATGGCATGTTTGGCGGGAGGCAATCTGCCAATCTGTCCCGCAGCACCCATTCTCCCAAAACTCACATGAAGATGGGAAATGAGTGATTGGAAGGAGATCCAACTGATTGCCTGGTACTTACTGCATTTGAATTTATATATATATAACATATATATAATATCTATAAAATATTATTTGAATGTTTTTCCCATTGACGTGTGAGCTCTATAGGGAATAGCAGTTTTCTTTGGTCGGCTTTTCCAGCAGGAGTATGAGGGACCGCCAAGTGGTTCCTCCCGCAGGGGCAACAATTAACCCAGACAGGTAGTCGGGAGGCTTTAAAAGCTTTACCACAACAGCATGGCGTCCTTCGTTAAACGTCGCAGAACGCCCTGGGAGTGCAGGGTTTCCCAGGGCTGTAAGAGCCCTGGTACCCGCCTTGTACAGAAATCAGTTCACATATAGTTCTTGACTTTGACAGTCTGAGAACAATGAGCGACCTTGGCAAAAGATTTGTCTCATTGGCGCACGAGATTGCGTCATTTCAGGATCACTTAGATGTTGATAGTTTGCCCCAGAGCCATGCAAGTTTCAGTCACAGACCCCAACCATCAGCTTTTCTTGTTGATTTCAGTCAAAGGGACGTCGCGCAAATAAATACTAATTGGGGTCGGGTCATTGTCTCACGCGGAATTTGGATCTCATGTTTGCTTCAGCAAAGGGAGGGGCAGGTCTGAGTCCAATACAGTGAAAGCCCTCGTACATCAGATTTCTGAGAATCACTGCGGGCATGGGTCAAGTCATGCAGTTCACTGCGCAAGAAATTTGAGGCCAATTGCTGCTCATGCACCATCGCTTTAAGTTGATGGCTGCTTGTTTGAGACCGTTGAGCTGATGATGTTGCCGTAAATTAACTTGGAAGATCCAGGGTATGGCTTTCGCATTTAAGACAGTCAGACATTTGGAAGAGATGGAGGGGGAGCAACCTCAATCACCACCTGAGATTGAAGACACTGCCAAGTGCAACAAATTTTGTTCTTCACAACCTGGGGACTTGATACAAGAGGCAACCGATTGCCTGAGTATTGCTGCTTGCTTAAGGGGAAAAATACTTCAGATGCCTACCTTTCCTACCCACATCATGTTGTCAATCGCAGAAAGGCGACTTTTCTGCAATTTTTCCGCCACCATATCATCGTTTGTCATGTTCAAGACTTCCTTGGCAGCCTGTCTGGACGGACTCACAGACAGAGAGAGAGAGAGAGAGAGATATAGAGATAGAGAGATAGAGAGATAGAGAGATAGAGAGAGAGAGAGCGAGAGAGAGAGAGAGAGAGAGATAGATAGATAGATAGATAGATGGGATAAGTAGGATAGATAGATGGGATAAGTAGGATAGATAGATGGGATAAGTAGGATATATAGATGGGATAAGTAGGATAGATAGATAGATAGATGGATGGATAGATAGATAGATAGATAGATAGATAGATGGGATAAGTAGGATAGATAGATAGATGGGATAAGTAGGATAGATAGATAGATGGGATAAGTAGGATAGATAGATGGGATAAGTAGGATATATAGATGGGATAAGTAGGATAGATAGATAGATAGATAGATAGATATAGATATAGATAGATAGATAGATAGATAGATAGATAGATAGATATAGATAGATAGATAGATAGATAGATAGATAGATAGGTACATAGATAGATAGATAGATAGGTACATAGATAGATAGATAAGATAGATAGATAAGATAAGATAAGAGAAGAGAAGAGAAGATAGATAGATAGATAGATAGATAGGTAGATAGATAGATAGATAGCTAGATAGCTTAGATAGCTAGATAGATAGACAGATAGATGGATAGATGGATAGATGGATTGACAGATAGATGGATAGATGGATAGATGGATGGATGGATGGATGGATTGATAGATGGATAGATGGATAGATAGGATTAGATAAGATAAGATAAGTAAGATAGATAATGATAGATAGACAGATAGATGGATGGATCGATAGATAGATGGATAGATTAGATTAGATTAGATTAGATCAGATTAATAGATAGATAGATAGATAGACAGATAAGATAAGATAAGATAAGATAAAATAAGATAGATAGATAGATAGATTGATTGATTGATTGATTGATTGATTAGATAAGATAAGATAAGAAAAGATTAGATAGATATTATAGCTAGCTAGCTAGCTAGCTAGATAGATAGATAGATAGATAGATATATAGATATATAGATATTATATATACATATATCTTGCATGATGCCCAGTATCCATTCCATATTTTTAACCCATCAAACTTCGTGAGCACGTGTTTTCAGAACCTTTTTCATTGCTCCCAGTGGACTGACGTTGAAAGCACATCAAAAGAAAGGAAATGAACTTGCGGGGGTCTGCATTTGAAAGCATGATTGTTAATTAATGTATGCTCAATCATTTTCATTTTCCAAATCTGTGGAAATTCTATTGCTCCGTTCAAGATCTGCTGAGGAACCATAGGAAACTTTGAGGACCCTGTTGTAACTGAATTTTGCTTCACTTGGAAATATCTTATATACTTTATAAAGAGATTCCGGTCTTCACTGGATTGACCAAGCAAACGCGCCGCCACGGCAAGTGATTCTGCTGTCACAAAGAACAAAAAATATATAATATATATATAATATATATATATATTTATGAATGATATTCGAAGGCAAGACACCAGGTTCGGAGCACTTTTAGAAGTTGAGATTATGAAATTGCACGTCGTTGTGGCGCGAAGCACATTTCGAAGTCAGCATGTTAAAGCACCACGTGCTCAGATCACTTTTGGAAGTTCAGATGTCGCTTCGTGTGGCAGGAGCAAGGGATTCTGCACCTTCCTAAAAGTGAGCAAAACGTGAGGGTTTTGTAGCAGTGCGAAGAGACATGTTCATCAGAGATGTTAGGAGGTCCGGGCGCTGATTTCCTGAGAAGGGTTGCATTTTGGTGCATCAGACCGTTAGGTTTGCCAAGATGATTTTGTGTGACAGGTGCAGCACTTAGTATGACCTGGCAGGCGCACTACTTTAGACAGATGGAGTGAAAAATCGCAAAACGTACTGGTATGCGGCCGCCAGCTCTACTCAACTTTCCATTTTGGAAGGAAGTCTCGCGGAATGGCTTCGTTTTTGATGCTGTCAACTCCGAAAATTGAGGAAGCCTCGCAGACTTGCTTCGTTTTTGACATTGTCAAGTTCAAAAATTAGGGAAGTCTCGCAGAATAGCTTCGTTTTCAAGCTTGCAGATAGACAGATCAATAGATAGACCACTACAACTACAACCACGCTACTACTACAACTGCAACTATAAATATGTGTGCCTGTATACAACGCTAAATTACACTACACAAATTGCATTACACTACGCTAAGCAAATTACAGTATACTACACTAGTTACATTGCAAGTACAACTGCTACTCCAAATGCAGCTACAACTTCAACTTCAACTACAACTACACTACAGTACACTACACTACACTAATTAGATTACAGCACTCTACAACTACAACTTCAACTACAACTACAACTACACCACACTACACTACGCTAATTACACTACACTACACTACAACTACAGCGACAGCTACAACTACAACTACACTACTTCACACTACACTACACTAGACTACACTGCACTATACTACACTAGAGTAGACAACACTACAGTACATTACATTACATTACATTACACTACACTAATTACACCACACCACAACTACAACTGCAACCACAACTACACAGAGACACACTAACTACACTACACTACAGCTACAACTCCACTATTCTACACTACAACTACAACTACAATGGCGCTACACCACGCTATATCCAGCAGTTGTGGGTGAGGTGACCACTGCAACCATTGCAGCCACTTCAAAAACACAACTCCAACCACCTTTCGGTCCATCAGTGGATGCGCTCTGCCATCCGTGATTCACAACAACCAACCTCTCCATAGGTTTCCTATGTTTGAAACTTCCGCCGCTGCCTTGCGCGGTACTACTGGTAATTGTGTCATAAAGATGTGGTTCTTGAGCAGTTCTTGAGGATCCAGGTTCTTGATGCTTTTTGATACCCAGGTCCAGGCATAAATCGACAGATCGCACAAAAACTCCTGCATGCTAAGGATGCGACACTTTTCGGACCAAACTCGCACTCGATTCGAAAGAATCTGCGGAGGAAAAGATGCTGTGGAGCGCGTGCATGTGAGCAATGTGAGCTATGATCACAAAACACAAAGAGACCAAATAGGACACACCCCTTGATGTGGGTAAAACAATAAATAATAAACCATCCCCCAAATCACCATAAATAGATGGTATACACAATTCCCAGTCATGGGTGGTTTATGTGATTGTTTTACCCACACTAATCCTTTACTGAAAACTGATTTGCTTAAAGTGAACCTCATGTGTTACGCGCAATGTTCCAGACAACAAAATACATATGCCGTTTTCATCTTGCAGCTTGGCGTTGGGGAGATCCACCTAGGAAGGAAGGTGCTACTGCAGTATACAACAACAGTCAGGAACTCAGAAGCGAGAAGTGTTCAAAAACCCTGTTGGTTGATGAATGTGGATGATTTCTCCGGGGATTACACTAACCATGATTCCATGATTTTCATCAATTTT